CGCGGAACCCTGGAGTCCGGGCAGGGCCGCGCCGCTCGCGACATCGTCCAGTTCGTGCCCTTCCGCGATTTTAAGAAGGTTTGGCTCCCCCTCCCCCCTGTGCCCTGGGGCCTGCCCCCCACTCCAGAACCCCGCCCCCCTGCCTTGGGCTCAACACCCAACTCAGAGCCCCACCCTCCTGTCTTCGAGCCCTGCCCCCTGTCTGGTGGGCTTCTGCTCTGGTTTCAAGGCCCTGCCCCCTTCCCTGTGGCCCCGCCCTCAGCCCAGGTTCTCCTTTCCCCGCAGATGCCCCCGTCGGCCCTGGCCCGCTGTGTCCTGGCCGCCATCCCACGTCAGGTGGTGGAGTACTATGGCAGCCGTGGCATTGCCCCTGGGCCCCGCCGGCCCCGCCCCCAGTGAAGTGGCTCCACCCCCATCCTGGTAAGTGCAGAAGAGGGGGGATCCTGGGTGAGAGTGAGCAAGGTGGGGCATCAGGCTCTACCGCTGTGCTCATGCTCCGCCCCCTTCTTCCCTTCATCCCCAACCAGGTGCCGCCGCCACCGACCTGCTGAGATCCACACGCCCCACCCCTGCCTGGGGGGAGGGGCCCCCACCCCAGGGACCCCCCGACGCAGGCGAAGGGGGGCAGTGCCCAGCCCCCGACTGCTCCCACAGGGGGGCGACCCCCTGGGAATCCCTCCACAGCACACCCGCACACCCCTCCCTGACCTTTGACCCTGACTCCAGCCTCCCTCCCCTGCACTTATATCTGTCCCCAAAGGGGATCTCTCCTGAATCCTGGCTCCTGTCCCCCAGCTCTCTAATAAAGCAGTCCCCACAGTTACAGCTTGGCCCTGCTGTGATGTCTCCTTCATGTGCCCTGGGGGCAGCTGGGAGCAGGGCCAGGGATGGGGGAATGGTAGGGAGTAGAAGGAAGGATAGTTGGGCCTGTGGGGAAGAAGGGAGAGAGGGATGCGTGGAGGGGGTTGTGGGGTGTAAGGATGGATGCAGGCTATGGCGTTAGAGGGATGAGCACTTTGAGCATGGAAGGATGGATGGAGACAAACGGGAAGGAGGGATGTGGCCCTGGGGATGGAGGACTGAAGGAATGGATGGAAGGGCACAGGTTGGCAGGCAGATGGAAATATGTGAGGCTGTGGGGATGGAGGGATGGAGGCAGGATGGAGGGAGGGATGTGTCTGGCCAGGGGCCATGGGTACGGATGGCTGGAGGGAGAAGCTATGGGGCTGGAGGGAGGGGAATGGGACTATTGGGTGGTGGGTGAAGGTGTGGATGGAGGAAGGGATGTGGCTGGGGGTAGGCTGAGGCTGGAGGGTGGTGGGGATGGATGGAGGGGTGGGGGGCTGGGGTGCAAGCTGGCAGGTGGGCAGACTTGGTGGCAGCTGTGGGGTGCTGGGAAGTAGGTTGACGGGTGGTATTGAGCAGGGGAGCTGGTTGGGGATGGGGCCGTACCCAGAGGAGAGATGGTGGGAGCCAGGGATGGAGCTGGGGATGGCTGGAGGCAGGTGGGGGATGGATGTGGGGTTGGAGGGAGCAGACCAGGAGGGTGGGACAGGTGGAGGGGCCTAGAGGACTGGGGGATACAGGGGGGGCTGGAGAGAGCTCAGGCCCAACTAGGAGAGCAGTGGCGGTCTCCTCACCCTCACCGCAGGCTTTGGTCTCCTCCAGGTCCAGGGCCTGCACGTGGGGCCAGGGGCAGCCACGGCCAGGAACGCAGAGCTGCGGAGCCAGCAGCCCTGTCCCTCCCCCCTTCCCAGTGCCAGCTGGCTCGGGCCCCCAGCCCCCTCCCCCGGCCTATTAATTACGCTGACTCGTTCCCTCCAGGGACCTGATGAGAACACAGGAGCCAGGCGCAGCTGGTGCCTGCGGCAGCCTTGGCCAGGCACTGTGCCAGCCCGGCACTCAGGCCCACTGCGGCAGGGCACGCCGCCCATCCATGGGGAGAGGACATGGGGGTGGCTGCTGGGTCGGGGTGGGGGGCACCAGGGGAGCAGGGGTTGCAGGTCGGGAGTGAGGGGCACCCGGGTTGTGGGGCTGTGCCTTCACTGCACCCCCCTGGGTTGCTGGGTCTCGACAGTGCCCCCTCCCAGCACTGGAGCCAGCACGTGCCGGGGGCAGGTCGGGTCACAGCTGGCCTCAGCACTGCCCGGACAGAGAGAGCAGAACCAAGTTGAGGGGCAGGGACCCAAGTGTCTGGGCCCCCAACTCCCACCTGGAGGGGATGAGACCCAGGCATCCAGGCCCTACCCCTGCCCTGCCTGTTACACCTTAGTGGCCGACTTTGGTACCGTTGCAACACCCATGCCAGGGGCAGGACTTGTGCCCCTTGGGGTGTGTGCTGCCAGGCCCCGCCCCTCCCCTCCCCACCCCTCCCCTGGTCCCACCCCCAAGCCCCCACAGAAGCACATCACTTCCAGTTTTGTTTTATTTTACAAAGTAGATTGGTATAGCCCACCTTGGCCCTGCCCCATCCTTGCCTAGGGGCGGGGCCTGCCCTGCCCCATGGGCAACTTTTCAAGGGCCAGGAGCCCACTTGGAGGGGAGAGAGATGGAGCCGGTTCAGTGGGGCAGGGGGAGGAGGAGACACACACACACACACACACCCCTTGAGACCCCTACAATCAACAGGATATACAACACACATAAATATATCCTACATCCAGGTGGATACACACACACCCTGGTTGTCATCACTCATTAGATAAATGGAGAAAGACACACACACATGTACACATACCCTATAACTGGACACACACTCAAACACCCCCCCCAATCCTTCACACTTGTCATTATATTCCTCCACGACACATGCACATAGATGTACACACACACACACACACACACACACACACACACGCCAGTCACTGCACCCTACCAGTACCTGCCCCACACCGTCACAACTCAACACCCCCAACACAAACATGCCATAGCACAGACCCTGAAGCACTCACAGCTACACATGCAACTCTGTGCGTGTGCACACCCACACCCCTGATCCTTCACACTTCTCATTGCATTACTCGAAGACACACACATATAGCTGTACCCTACAACGGGACACATGTGCGTGCACACACACACACACACACACACACACACACACACACACTCATGACTCCCCTTGGGCGAAGAGGGGGTATGGAGGCCCGTGGCTGTCTCCCCCTGGTGGCCACGGAGGGCACGTGCCCTGTT